CCTGAAACACTTTCATTGTGTCGCAAATTTTAAACTGTCGCTGAGCTCTTTCATGCCATGCAATTGAAATTTCAGTTTTCAGCTTCCATTCATCGCTTTCGGGGTCGTAACATTGGACTCTTAACAGTTCCGTCACGCTTGATCGATCATAGCCCACAACATATACCTCGCCATCTACGGCAATCAAACCTAAAAATGCCTCTCGCTCCACGCTAAAGCTTCTAATAAACTGCCATTCATTTGTTGTTTCATTGTACACTTCACACAGGAGTTCATCTTGGCCTGGTTTCTTTTTATTTTTAGTCCATCCAGCAATATATATTTTTCCGTTCGCCGCTGCACCCCAAAGCTGGTTCTGTCTTCCTGCCTGAATGTCTGCTAGTTTATCCCATTTTTTTCTGGAAAGATCGTACCTATAAACATCACGTAAGAGCCTTCTTCCATACTTTTCCGTACCGCCAATGAAGTAAACGAAGTTTTCGCTGGGCACAACGCAATAATGTCCCCTATAAGGCAGACCCTCTTTTAACAATACGTTCTCCCATGAATTGGAATCTACTTTGTACTTTGAGATGATGATGCCGCTTTCCTTTTTAAAACGACATACACCAGACCAGAGGACGTCGGGGACAGGCCGCCACTTCTGAATTAAGAACAAAGCATACATTTCATCATTGTAAACGAAGAGTTTCTTTAAAAGTGTGTTGTCATCTAATGGTGGTAAAAACTTCCATCTATAAGAGTGTGGATTATAACATAAGATGCGAAGTTTCCAAGAATAATCTATATTTAATAGCTCACGCCTTGTACCGTACATTTTATCGCGACAAAAGAAAATACCATCGTCACTTTGCAAATATATTGGTTCCTTTCTATACCACCTATCCTCGCGTGGAAAATAAAAAAGGTATTTTCCTTCCGTTGTGTAGGCGACAATTGCAGAGTACTCTAGACACTTTCTCGGTTTGCGATCAAGAATATCAAGTCCATCAACACTGTTAAAGTCGATTAATTCAATAGCTCCTTTCGCAAGTTCCAGACAGTCTTCATTGTTTTTAACCAACTCATTTGTCACGACCTCATTACAGAGAAAGTCACGCGATATGTAAACCAGTCGAACTTGACGAAATAGCTCGGGAAAATGACTTCTTCGATTGTTTTTGTCGTGATTAATCCAAGCTAGAATGATACTTAACACATCTTCCTTAGCGCTAACATGTAGCTCATCGCTTGAAATAAAAATTGCAAGTTCCTCTTTGGACATTTGCAAAACATCTTCACGCTTCGCAGAGAATAATGCTCTGAAATTTGCAAGGATAATTATTTTGGACTTGCATAAAAGTTCCTCGCAGTGATATTCATCAGCCAAATGGAAAATTGAAATACAATTTGAAGTATTCAATTCTTTCAATAAGGTTTGCATTGCCAGGGTCTTCAGGTTCTGGAGCAACAAGTAATCTGCTATCACAATCAAGTCTCTGGCATCATCTTCATCCAGTATCTGTACATTACCGGTGTAAATAAACTCCAATGTGTTTCTCATAGCAGAGGCGGTGAAGATCTCCAAGCGAACCACTCCTTCTTTAGACTCCTTCATGTCGCTGTTCAGCAGCTTTTCAAAGAAAGGACTCGCCTCTGAGAGGACTTTTCGGTGAGCTTTGAAGTCGCCATCTCTGACGACTAGAGTGACATCATAAGGCTGATCGAGTTCTTCTCTCGTGAACCACACTTGAATTGGGATTTCTCGATTTGAATTAACTCGCTGAGATATGCAAGAAGTCGGTGAAATCGATGCCATCTTAATTTTCCAATTGAATAGGGAATTTTCACTTTCACGACTCAAGGCTGATGGGCAAGGTCATCTGTGAATTTGCGCACTGGTTTCTTCCGCTGTCATTTGCATGTGCCAAATTACTATTGGTCTTCACTGCAATTGTCAACTAGCAGCACGTGGCTATCAAAGCCGACTTGTAATTCTAATCACGTACGGTTTATGTGATCTCGGTCGGATGTACGATGCGAGTTAACCCTTTGACCACTAAGAGTGACTAGCATCTAATTTCTCCTTACAATATCAGCCCTGAATCAAACATTAAGATCATGAGAATATAAAAAATGATCCCCAACTTAAGAGGCTTTTGACTGTAAAACAAATTGCCTT